AGGGACCAGTGGATGGCATAATGATTTTGTCGCTGCACTAGGATGTAGTCGACTGCGATTTGAGTCCTGGACTCAGCAGCTTAAAATTCACACCGAGTGCATGTGCAGCATACGTGCCCAAAATACCAAGAGAAGAATGGAGGAGGAGGGATTGCGGCATGGCCATCCTCCCTGGGGGTGATTCCTTGCTTTCTGTCTTCTCTGGCTTTCTGTCTAGCACACATACCCTATAGCAAAAATCTCTCCTCCAAAAAAAAAAAGAAAAAGAAAGAAAAAAGTTCATTTTTATGTTGGGCCAGCTCAGTATCATAAGTAGTTCAAGGGAGCCAGATCTCACATGGTCAGCTGGAGTTAAAATCCCAGCCACAGTGACTTGAAAATTATGCCAGTCAGTAGTTATATTTGTGTGTGCCTAAAATCCAGGATGGAGGAATGGGGGAGAAGGGATTGTGGTGTGACCACGCCCCATTGGGGGTGCTTCCACCCTCCCTCCTTCCTTCCTTCTCTCTCTCTTTGGTGAGCACATATGCAATTAAAATAAAAGTTTACTTTTAGGTCAGCTGGTAGCATGGTGGTTAAGGTAGCCCGATCCCACATGGTCAGCTGCCCAGTTCTACTCCTGTACCAGCAGCTTGAGAAATATGCAGGGTATATGTGCATGTATGCCCTGATTCCTGAAAGGAGGGAGAAATGAAAGAGAAGGGATTCTAGCCTGACCATAATAAAATTAAATATTTATATTTATTTTTATTTTTGGAGAGGTTTTTTTTGTTGTTGTAGGGCGCGTGTGCTCGCCAGACAGACAGAGAGACAGAAGGTGAGAAATCATCCCCCAGGGAGGATGGCCACGCCACAATCCCTTATCCTCCATTCTCTTCCCGTGATCTTGGGCACACGCGCCCGGCATGAGTTTTAAGCCACTGGGTTCGGGACGCCAACCGCAGTTGACCATGTGGGAGTCCAGTGAAATAGCCATTACGCTAACTGCTGGTCCCAAAAAATTAAATATTTTTAAAATGTGAAAGTAAGTAAGTGTACTTTGTAAAGTTTCACATGTCTTTTTAAATTTTTTATTTTATTTTACTTACTATTACCATTCTTCAATTTGACCAGAGGGAGAATGAGACAGTGAGAAAGCAAGCTGTCAGGCCCAGGACTGAAACTGTAGTCAGCCACGTGGGTATCCAGTGCCTCAACCAGCATTTTTTTTTTTTTTGACAGAAAATATTAGCTTCATTTCATTAAGTAAGACTAGCAAGTCAGCAGTCAAATTTAGTACCTACAAAGCATGATATAATTTTTATTTAATAACTGATAGATTATAAAAAAACTTCCTAACCAGCTTTTTTTTCCCCTTTGTACAAGTATAATATTAATAGATCAATTTAGAAAGTAGGCACTCTTATGAAACATAGTTAAGAGCATAAGCCCTAGAGATTATTACTAGGGTTGGAATCCACGCTCTTCAACTTATTAATTGCAAAGCTCTCGGCCTCTTTACTTTTTTTTTTTTTTTTGAGAGAGAGTTTTTTTGCTATAGGGCGCGTGCGCTCGCCAGACAGAGAGAGACAGAAAGTGAGAAATCACCCCCAGGGGGGATGGCTGTGCCACAATCCCTTCTCCTCCATTCTCCTCTCGGGATCTTGGGCACGCACGCACACATGCCAGGCATGAGTTTAAGCCACTGATTCCGGGACTTGAACCGCGGTCGACTACATGGGAGTCCAGCAACATAGCCATTACGCTAACTGCTGGTTCCGGCCTCTTTTCTTATGTATATAATGAGGACAGTAGTATCTACCTATAGGATGGGGCTGTCATGAAAACTAACTTAACAGAAATAAACCAGGTAGGATACTATCTTCTACATAGGCAGCACTCTATTTAAGTAAGTATTATTATGACAATTTAAAAGTTATGAACTATTTTGTTTTCTTAGAGTGATAAAGTTCCTTTGTCAAACTTTCCAATAATTTTTAAAAAACCCTGTTTCCACTTTGGGAGAAAAAAAAAGGGAAAACAAAACAGCCTACTGTAAAAACTGCTATTAGAATACCTGAGCAGTTTCTTTTTTTTTTTTTTTTTTGCCATAGGGCATATGTGCTTAACAGAGACAGAAAGCGAGAAATCACCCCCCAGGTGGTGGCCAAGCCACAATCCCTTCTCCGCCATCCACCAGGTCCAGGACTCGAACCACAGTCGACTACATGGGAGTCCAGCGACATAGCCATTACTCCAACTGCTGGTCCCCAGTTTCTGTTTTTAATTTAGCAATATTGAGAATGTTTCTCTGTAATCCACTGGCAGCCAATGAGAAGCTGCTTCAGAGCCTTAATTTCTCGTACTTGAAGCAATACTTTGGAAGACATTCTACTAATTTCTTCTAGGATCTTTCTTTGTTCTTTCACATCTCTGGAGATTTTCAACATCCTGACAGATGACAGGAGGTAGATTTTCATCCTTCAGTGCTTACTATCCTCTAGCTTTAGAAAGCTAAAAATAAATATGAACAATGGGACCAGCAGTTAGCATAATGGTTATGTCGCTGGACTCCCATGTAGTCGACTGCGGTTCGAGTCCCGGACCTGGTGGCTTAAACTCAGGCCGGGTGCGTGTACGTGCATGCCCAAGATCCTGAGAGGAGAATGGAGGAGAAGGGAATGCGGCGTGGCCATCCCCCCTGGGGGGTGATTTCTCGCTTTCTATCTCTCTGCCTGTCTGTCTGGCAAGCGCACATGCCCTATAACAAAAACCTCTATAAATAGATAGATAGATAGATAGATAGATAGATAGATAGATAGATACATACATACATACATACATACATACATACATACATACATACAAACAAACAAACAAAATACTCAGTTTTCTAAGAGCAGAGGATTTTCCGTGTGTAGCATCCACTTTTTTCCCTTAAAGAATTGTCTGTTAATTGCAGTTTGAAATACCATCCTGCTCTGTTAAAGGATCCTTTTACTTGAGCAGCACTATTCTCTTGCTTTCATAAGAATTATGGGAAGACAAGGACAGTTTGGAGAACAGCTGTATTTGGAAAAATAAGTAACCTTTGGTCATTCTCAGATATGAACCTTTAAGGTGGTTTATTTTTATTATCGTTATTATTACTTATTTCATGAGTGAGAGACCTAGTGAGTGCGATAGCATGTGCACCAACAGGTTATGTTTGTTTGTTTTGTTTTTGCCAAAAGGCATATACCAAGAAAGAAAGGGAGAAATACCTCCTATGGAGAACGGTTAGCCACAATCCCTTTCTCCTCCATTTCTCCATCCTGTTGGGGTTTGGGGCATGCATGCTCACACACCCAGGATGTTTTTCAAGTCACCAAGTCCAGGACTCAAGCTGCATGGTTAGCCGTATGAGATCTAGCTCACTGAATTACCAGGCTGCGGGCTGACCTGCCAATAAGGTCTTTATTCCACAACCCTAAGCCTTCAGCCAGCCCCAGATTGTGGGTGGACATGTGCCTGAAATACTCAGATAGGTCTCCAGATACAAACCCAGAACCTTCCTCCATGGAAAGTGTCTTTAAGAGCAGTGCATTACCCCTGTGCTACAGTCCACCCCTAAAAACAAACCTGTTAAACACGTAGATAAATTTCAGTGTTAGTCCCACTACACAGTTTCTTGTTGTTGAAAGTTTGCCTGAAAGGGTAGAATTATCCAAATCAGAACTTTGTAATAACACAGTGAATAATTGATGAGAATCATTCAATTTTGCACTCAACTCTGGTATTTATTCTTTTTTTTTTTTTTTTTTTTTGCTATAGGGTGTGTGTGCTCTCGCCAGAGAGACAGAAAGCGAGAAATCCCCCCCCAGGGGATGGCCATGCCGCAATCCCTTCTCCTCCATTTTCCTCTTGGGATCTTGGGCACACACGCACACACGCCTGGCTTGAGTTTTAAGCCACTGAATCCAGGACTCGAGCCACAGTCGGCTACATGGAAGTCCAGTGACATAGCCATTACGCTAACTGCTGGTCTCTCAACTCTGATATTTAAAGACTTAGGAGCTAACCATGTGCTGTGTTTTATTTACATATGTATCAGTGACAGAGACTACAAATGGTTATATTTTATGTGTATTCAGTAACTTTTCTAAACAATCCTCCCCGCCCTAACACCCAGCCCATTGCTTTTGTTCTATATGTTGTAAACTTAGTACGTCAGTATAGCTCCATTTTAAGAGCTGTCAGTCAGCTCTTAATCCAAGTTATCACTTATATGAGGTAGAAATAATAATGAGATTTTTTTTCCTCTCCCTCACCTCTTAGATAGTAGTATTTTGTTCTTATATCTTATGCATACTCTTTATACATTGCTGAAAAATTAATTTAAAAAATTTATGACATTTTTCAATTTTTAATCCAGAGTTATTTAGTACTATATATTATCCTAGTAAAGAATTTTCTTTTGAAATTATCTGTGCAGCTTATCTTGCATGTGGGTTGATCTGTCTTTTGCGTTTCATTTTATGTTTTATTTGTGTAAGACAGTTCACCCTTCAGTTACCATGCCAAGCCAGTACAAATTCCTATCTCCTTCCATAGCAGTCGAGTTTGTTAGAGTACCAAATACTGCAGTATCTGCCAAACCAAGGAAGTGAATTCATGCCCATGCTAAATTCAGTGTTTAGAAGAGTAGATGCTGATTATTGATTAATATGTTGGGGAACAATGCTGAACAAAAGATCTTCTAACCAACTAGAACATTTGACCTTAACTTCTTTACCTATAACACAGCAAAAGATAGTATCACCAACTTAAATTTTTCCATTTCCACTTATGGAAATAAATTATCCTATTATCATACTATTCTTTGTTCTTTTCTTATGAGGAGCTAAATTGTCACTACCAGGTTTGCTCCTGTAAACAAACCACAAAAAAGCCAGGATGGTAAGAAGTCAATGTCTGATAGGACCTCAATTGGAAATTTAAATTTGCTTTCATTAATGTCTTTCTGTTTTTATGGTTTTCAGGGAGTAAAGCCAGCCAGTTTTGACAAAGTTGCCATTCCTGAAGTCAAAGAAATTATTGAAGGATGCATACGACAAAACAAAGATGAAAGGTAAGTTGCCACTTTTTGCCTGGGTATTCCTTGAGCAAAAAAACCTAAAATTTGTGCTCTTACTCTTAGATATTATATTATTTAATACTTGTGATTGGACTGTCCATTTATGCCATGTAATTTTTTTTTTTAAGGCATTTGCCATAAGTCACGTGTACTCACTGGAAAGAGACAGAGAGGGAAAGTGAGAAATCACCCTCACCTTTAGGTGGGATGGCCATGCTGCAGTCCCTTCTCTTGAGATTATAGGTGCACACACACATACACACACATACAGTCGGTGTGGTTTTCAAGCTGCCAGGTCCAGGAACCAAACTGTGGTCATCCATGTGGGAGTCCGTGTCTTAACTGCCACACCAGCTGCTGGCCCTAGCCATGCATTTTGTTTCTTGTTTTTTAATTCTTTTTTTTTTTTTAAGAAGTTTGTTTTTTGTGCTTTTTGTTGTTGTTTTTTGGGGTTTTTTTTTGCTATAGGGCGAGTGTGCTCGCCAGACAGACAGAGAGAGACAGAGAGACAGAAAGTGAGAAATCACCCCCTAGGGGAGATGGCTATGCCACAATCCCTTCTCCTCCATTCTCCTCTCGGGATCTTGGGTACGCACGCACACGCACCTGGCATAAGTTTTAAGCCACCGGGTCTGGGACGCGAACTGCTGTCGACTACATGGGAATCCAGTGACATAGCCATTACGCTAACTGCTGGTCCCCTTGTTTCTTGTTTAAAGAGATTTTTCCTATAGGGTATGTGCGCTCACCAAAGAGAGAGACAGAAAGTGAGAAACCATACCCCACAGGGGATGACGACCCCACAGTCCCTTCTCCACTCCTCTCAAGATTTTGGACACTCAACACACATACTTGCCCAGCTTGGGTTTCACACTGCTGGGTCTGGGACTCAAACTGGTCAGTGCCTCAACCCCTACACCACCTGTTGGCCCCACCATGTAATATTTTTAAAAGTAGGGTCTGTCATTTGATGTTATTTGGATTAGATATACTGGAACATTATAAAAATGTGTTTTTGAACGAACTTAAGTAAACCAGAGCTACCTTCCATGTGATTACTACATTTTATGGAAGTTGTTTACTTCTATCTCAGCGTGATTTCTAAAACTCAGTAAAATTTATTCTCTCTATAAAAGGTAAAATAAAATCTTGGTTCTTTAAAACCACTTCAACTATTTAGGTCTTGATTTGCTGTCATTGTGCTAGAATTAAGAGGAGCAAATCATCAAAATTCCTTTAAGTACGAAGACCCCAGGGCTGAGGAGGAGATATGGCTTAGTCGTTTGTACTAACAGAGGGCTTTTCTCTGAGGAGTGGCGCATATCTGATTTGCCTTATGGTTGATTCACCCATTAGGCATGGCAAGGATCCAGTGTCTGTTTCTGAAAAATAACCTACCTTCACCAACCCTCTACACCCTGAAAAAAAGAAAAAGTAGACCAGCTAGTACAAATGTAAATTGCGACTGAGCATGATCTACCTGAGAACACTCAGATATTTCAGCCAAAGTAAAGAATTCCATATCTACACTTTTTCATAATTTTGGTTTTGGAAGCTTAGCATTTTACTCTTTGAAGTTTTTTAGTAGAAATTTACTTTGAGTTTCTATTTTTATATACACTGAGTCCCTGAATCTCTTTGGAATATTTTTCACTGTAAACAAAAGGATATTTGTTCCTAGTCTTAGAACATATTACTGTTTCTTTTTCTGGATGGAACAGTTTACTAGATTACTGGTATTTTGAAACCATTTTATCTCAAAATGATGGTTTCAGTCACCCTTCTTGCCTGATAAACAGATGTTGAATAGAAATTGAGAGAATTTATTGGGTAAATAAGGATTGCTCTCGTACGGGACCAGCAGTTGGCATAATAGCTACATCGCTGGACTCACACGTAGTCAGTCGCAGTTAGAGTCCCAGACCTGGTGGCTTAAACTCATGCCGGGTGCGTGTCCGTGAATGCCCAAGATCCTGAGAGGAGAATGGAGGAGAAAGGATTGTGGCATGACCATCCCCCTGGGGGGTGATTTCTCACCTTCTGTCTCTCTCTGTCTTTCCGGTGAACACATGCACCCTGTAGCAAAAACTTCTCCAAAAAACAGCCAAAAACAAACAAAAAAGATTGCTCTAGCAGAAGGTACCATATAAGAAATCAAATTATTTTGTAGTTCTTATTCTACCATTTACAGCTTTTATAACTATGAGCAAGATTCTCAACCTCAGTGAGCCTCTATTTTCTAACAGTCAGGGGATGATATTTCATTAGATATTGGTCAAAGATTAAATGTGATCATACATAATAAGGATTTTTTTGTTAATATCAAATGTTATATAAATGACTAGGTGGTATGTTTAAGCTTTCATATTCTATATATTAGTTGCCGCCACTAACACTATTAACTAATGAGATTAGGTCATTGTGTTTTTAAAATGCTATCAGCTCTTATTCATAAGTGACATTGTTGGTATACTGTTAGTTGAAAGTAAAACTCTGTAATCACCATTCCAGTGGAGCAATACAGAAATCAGTCACACTTTCTCTTGTTTTTCTTCTGTGAATAACAATAATTAACCACACTTGAAAATTATCTTTCCAAACTCATGGCTTTTTTCTTTTTTTCTTTTTCTTCTCTTTGGAAGATACTCCATCAAAGACCTTTTGAACCATGCCTTCTTTCAGGAGGAAACAGGGGTACGGGTAGAATTAGCAGAAGAAGATGATGGAGAAAAGATAGCTATTAAATTATGGCTACGTATTGAAGACATTAAGAAACTAAAGGGAAAATACAAAGACAATGAAGCTATTGAGTTTTCCTTTGACTTGGAGAGAGATGTGCCAGAAGATGTTGCTCAAGAAATGGTAAATAAACACTGACCAGCCATGTACAAATTGATGTGGTCTTCTTGGACAGACAAGCAGTTTATGAAGCAGAAGTGTGGCATGTCACATTGACATCAAATTTGAGGGGCCCCAAAAGTTATCTTTGAGAAGTGGGATATTCCTGTGACACCTGCCCCCACCCCACCCCCGGCCCCCGTGCTAAATAGTTTGCTCAGTATGGACTTTACAAACACTGCTTTCATTAGTGGTGATGCTGGCACTGGGAGTTGCTGTGCCTTCTCCAGGTAGTATGCTGAGAACCAATATTGTGCTAGAACTTGTGGCCTGCACATGTCAGTCCACGCATCCTGCTGTGCTTACAGACTGGTTTGGTGATCCACTGGGTGTCAGAGTTTCTTCTGATGGCTTTACAGAATGGATCAATGAGGATAATCTCAAAGAATTGATGTGTGGAGTCTCACCAACCCAGTAAGAATTCAGGACTCTCCGAGTCCCAGAGTGGCGTCCACAGAGTGGCTTGCTCCTCTGCCACAGATAGCTGCAAGCACACTTTGGCATCACACTGTGATGCCCAGACTTGCCATAGGTGCACCCTCAGGAACTGGGCATTTATATCCTACATGCACAAATTCTGTATATGTGACGAAACTTGCTTACCTTAGTATCCCAGTCTGCATGCTTTATCACCCTGGGTAGGGCAGGGAACCCTGAGGAACATAGAAAACCCAGTTTGACTTGCCTTCGAGATTATGCTGATAACTGCCACCAGTTGGAAGTGATTTTTGAGGAGCTTTTTTTTTTATTCTGATGAGTGTCAGATTCTTTAGTCTTTTAATAATTATTTTTATCTGTGAAATAAATACATAGATATAAACATAAATGTATGTAACAATGGGCGGACTAGGTGGGTGAATGGATAGGAAAGAAGACAGGAGAGGGAGGGAGAGGAAGGAGGAAGAGCTAGAAAGCACTCTGCAGTCATCTTGCAGGTCTTCGGGCTGCATGCCTCCTAATTAGTATGCACCTCTTTGGTTGGGACATGTTTCTAACTACTAGCACTTTAGCCTTGATCAGCTGTCTGAATAAACCCTGCAAGTAGACATGGGATTTTAAATTGATTTTACTTTGAAGGGAGTTTTTTTTTTTTTAATTATATTTTTAATATTTTTTGAAAGATTTTTATTTAATTTTATTTATTATTATTCTTCAGTTTTGCCAGAGAGAAACAGAGAGAAAGCAGGAGAGTAGGAAGGCAAGCCACCAGGTCCGGGACTAAAGCCATGGTCGGCCATGTGGGAGTCCAGCACCTTAACCACCAAGCCACCTGCCAGCCCCGAAGGGAGTTTTAAAGATCAAATATTAGTATGTAGCTGTGGTGTATCATTAATTGAAGTATATCTAAAAGATCACTTTTCCAAAAGGAAAGCCTTCACCAATTTTAGGCTTGCCGTAGTACCTAAAGTACCCAATTACTGTGCAAAGATAATCATGGAACACCTCTAGTATTTATAAGAACCATTCAGTAACAGTTGCCTCTGAAAAGGAACCAGGTATGAAAGATTTATTTATTAGTATTTTTTTTTTTAATTTCTTCCTTGAGGGAGTGACAAAAAGACAGCCCCCCAACAGGATCCCTATGCCACAACCCCCTCAGCCGCAGATCGCAGGTTCGTGTGCCCTGCATACTCAAGGTGTTCTCTGGACACAAAACACAGAATCTTCTCTCATGGGTTAGCCTTGCAAAGCATCACGTTTTACTGCTGTGCCACCATCCAGCCCTGAGGTACTTATTCTTAATTGTTACAGGGGCCACACCTCAAGCCCTTCTCCTCTTAAGATTTGGGTTGTGCACCCGGCATAATTTTCAAACTGCCAGGCCAGAACTTGAACCATGGTCAGCCATGTGGGAATCTAGGACCTTAGCCACCATTCCACTGGCTGGCCCAAATACAAGTTAATGTTAATGGTTACATGTGAGATCCAAATAGCATTCATAAAATAACCTGACTTACTATAGGAACTGTGATTTCAGGTGTCCCATTGCTTTGTCCCTTATAAGGAATGAAGGTACACGGACACAGCAGATGCCTAGATGTCTACTGCTTCCTAATATACTCATTTATTCTGTAGGTTGAGTCTGGGTATGTCTGTGAAGGTGATCACAAGACCATGGCTAAAGCTATCAAAGATCGAGTGTCATTAATCAAGAGAAAACGGGAGCAGCGACAGTTGGTACGCGAGGAGCAAGAAAAAAGAAAGCAGGAAGAGAGCGGTCTCAAACAGCAGGTGGAACAGCAATCAAGTGCTTCCCAGACCGGAATCAAGCAGCTCCCGTCTGCTGGCACCGGCATCCCCACTGCTTCCACCACTTCAGCTTCAGTCTCTACACAGGTAGAACCTGAAGAACCTGAGGCAGATCAGCACCAACAACTGCAGTACCAGCAGCCTGGCGCATCTGTGTTATGTAAGTATTTAGGAAAGGGGCTCCAGCTGACCTCTGTCTTTAGTTCATCATTTTGCACAGATTTCATGGTTTTGAATTATGAATCCAACATACAGTTAGAAAATTGAAATGGTTGCCCTCTAGCCTCTCTTTTTATTATTTAGCCCATGACTAATAGAAGGATGGAACAGTAAGTATGAATAGGATGTAAAATAACTTTGTAAGTTTCAACATCTTAGAGGTTCTGATTTGTGGATTTCTGCTTTTCACAATTCCTCAAAATAAAAATATAATTAATAAGAATAAACAAGCTTAGATGCTTAAAATTAATGAAGCTCATTAATATGGTTCAGTTCTTTAGTTATGCTGAGTAAGTGTATAGACTTAAAAACAAATGAGATCACAAGTTACTGATTGAATTAACTGCTTAATACTAAGAACCTATTGGTCTCCATAGTTAAGACTGAAAGCTTACTATAAATGTACCATTTTATTTCCCATCTTCTTAGGTAATAAGATTTTGTGATCCTTGGGGGAATATTTTTAAAACAGACATTAAAGCTTTTTTTATGTATGGATCCCTCTTTTAAATATCAAAATCTATTTAACGTGACTGCTTTTCTTGTTTTGGAGAGGTTTTTGCTATAGGGAGCATGCGGTCACCAGAAAGAGACAGAGACAGAGACAAAAAGCCAGAAATCACTCCCCCATGGGGGATGGCCACGCCACACTCCCTTCTTCTCCATTCTTCTCTCAAGATCTTGGGCACGCATGCACATGTGCCTGGTGTGAGTTTAAGCCACCGGGTCTGGGGCTCGAACTGCGGTTGACTACATGGGAGTCCAGCAACATAGCCATTATGCCAACTGCTAATAATTTTTTATTTAGTTTGGGTCAGTGCAAATGGGTTTAAACTGTGATAGGCAAATATGGAACTCCTTTTTTGTGATTTGTCTCTTTCTCTCTCTTTTTTGGTGATTCATTTCTCCTCCAGCTGATGGGACAGTTGACAGTGGTCAGGGATCTTCTGTCTTCACCGAATCTCGAGTTAGCAGCCAGCAGACAGTTTCATATGGTTCCCAACATGAACCGACACATTCTACTGGCTCAATGCCAGGGCACACAGCTTCTGTCGTCCAAGCACAGTCTCAACTCCATGGGGTATATCCACCCTCAAGTGTGGTAAGTAAATGCATAAGAGAATGTATGCTACAGTGAGAGCCAAGTAGGTACTGTGCTAAATTTAGATTTTTTCTACTGTCCAAGTAGCAGCATGAGTCTGAGGTTAGAAAATATAAACGATGTATTTCTAAAGGATTTCTTTTAGATTTATTATAGAATAGAATTGGAGTATATTGGGTGGGCTAGCCTATACACATTAATGTGTAGAAATTGGCTGAACTTTCTTTGTGATGCAAATTTGTATAAGATTTAGATATCTTAGTCTGGATTTGATGAAAGATTATTCTCTCTTTATCAATTAAGAGTTGAAACTGTTTAAAGTAACAGTAACTGGGCATACAAATGTTTGGAGGGTGGGTGAAGAGTTTTTTTAGAAGCATACTTATTAAAATAATTACTAAGTATTTTCTGTGAGATTTCTTATTACATAAAACACAGGTAAGACCTTCAAACTGTTGTAGAATGCTGCATGTGAGTATTGTAAAGTAAAGAAATCCTTTATCTGTATGACCATTTAATTTAGCGCTTATGTTTAGTTAATCATCAGTTGCTATGCGTGTTCCTGCCTTTAACGTCTGCGTTGGACACAAGTTCCTTTTCCAGTACATGTTCATTTGCTTTCTCCCTTTATTTGGTATCTGTTTTATTACTGATTTATTTTCAGAATCAACTTAAGGAGATGATTTCCTGAAATATTCTATGCTTATGTATGGGTATATATATATCACCCCATGTTTCACATTAGTCACTCTAGCGTCTTATAAAGAGAATGTTAAAGCAGATTAATCAGATAATACTTTATTTCTTTTGTTGACGTGAAAGTCTTCAAAGGAAAATATAACATATCTGTAATTGGTCTCACTGTATAGCACTTGTTTACTGAGACCTTTAAACAAGCAGATTTTATTTCCCTTCTTCTCAGAAAGCTTTTAATATCACCCTTGTAGAATTCTTACTCTTCATTAAATGAAAATCTTTCTCTCTTAAGAAAATACTTCTTGGGGACCAGCAGTTAGAGTAATGACTATGTCTCTGGACTCCCATGTAGTCGACCGCGGTTCGTGTCCCAGACCTGGTGGCTTAAAACTCACACCAGGCGCGTGTGCGTGCGTGCCCAAGATCCCAAGAGGAGAATGGAGGAGAAGGGATTGCAGCATGGCTATCCCCCCAGGGGGTGATTTCTCGCTTTCTGTCTGTCTCTGTCTGTCTGGCGAGCGCACGCACCCTATAGCAAAAACCTCCCCCCTAAAAATAAATAAACTAATTAAATTTTTAAAAAGAAGAAGAAAATACTTCTTGTTCCAATTTTTTATCCTACAGCTTGGAATAAAAAATAATTATTTCAGATTCTGTTGATCAATTGTGCTTTGGCTAGATCTCAAGATGAATGGCCACAGTAATACAAGGAAAACTACTAATGCACTAGTTTTATTTAATAATCTACTTTCTAACCTTTATAATAATTAGGCAGGAAAGAACTTTATAAAGACTGCATAGACTGATAGATTTCTGTGTTCTGACAAATACTATTTGTCAGCATTTCTGGTCAGTTTCTCCTTTTGTTCTAATTGACTTTTTTCTGGATCATCATAACTAGATTTTTTTTTAAGAATTATTTATTTTATTTCATTTTATTTTTTTTTTATTTGACCAGAGAGAAACAGAAAGAGAGAATGAAAGTGAGAAAGTAAGCTGCCAGGTCTGGGATTCGAACCACAGTTGGCCAAGTGGGTGTCTAGTGCCTTAACCACCTCACCATCTGCCAGCCCCACAACTAGATTTTTTTAAAGAGGCTTTTGCTTTGGGATGCATGCACTCGCCAGAGAGAGAGACAGACAGAGAGAGCAAGAAGGAAAGTGAGAAATCACTCCCCTGGGAGGAGGGTATGGGCATGCCACAATCCCATCTCTTCCATTCTCATCCCAGGATCTTGGGCACGAATGCACATGTGCTTGCCATGATTTTCAAGCTACTGGGTCCAGGACTCAAACAACAGTTAGCCATGTGAGAGTCCAGCAACATAACCACTATGCCATCTGCTGATCCCATAACTAGATTTAAAAAAAAAAAAAACTCTTTTTAATTTCTTGGCTTCATTTATCCCAGGGTTATAAACACTGGGTATTTTAGAAAAGGCTATGGAATGGTCATTTATGAAAGTATTAAATATTTGAGCCATTAATAGAACTATATTTGTTGATGCTCCCTATTCTTTTTTGTTTAATTTTGCCATAGGGCACATGTGCTCGCTGGAGACAGAGACTGGGTGAGAAAGTGTTTCCACAGAGCACACTCATGCCACAATCCCTTCTCTGTCTCTTCCTCACTGTGAGATTTCAGGCACGTAGGTACATGCAGTAGCCTAGGACTGAACCAGGTGGTCAGCAGTGTGGGATCCAGCCGCCTTAACCAGCATATCCCTTGCTGTCCCTATTGATAGTCTTAAAGCAAACTTTTTCCTCTTGTTTTAAAATGACAATATCCTGCGGAGGTATGAAGAAGAATTATTAAATTTTGCTTCTGTTCAAATATTGAGGATTTTTAAATTTTTGTAATTCTCTTCCTATCTCATTCTGGAGGGAACTCACTGTAGCTTACAATGATAGACTAATTATAAATGAATTATAAAATTTAGAAAAGAAGGGAAATGATGGTAGAAAAAAAGAATTAGGGGTGAAACTAAATAATCATATATGATACTACATACTTGCTACTGGTGGCCACAAATTTGTGGAAGGCCACAAATTTGGCTCAGAGCATTCTATGCAAGCAATTTTTGAAACAAAAATATAATTAATTCATAATATTTAAAAGGAAATCAACTTGCTCAAGACAATCTTACAGTATTAGACGTATTGCTTGATAGCTATATTAAATGCTTTATGTTAAGGTCCCTCAAATGATAAACCTAAAAATCTCTGATATGCCTGAAGAAATTTTAAGGCTGTTCCTTAAAAATATTTTTCCATTGACCGTTGTAGTAAAAGTATATGTTTCCCGTGTCTTGTGATTTTCTTCCAGAAAACTAAACTTTTTCCTAGTAGATGGGTTTTTTTACCTTATTAACAAAAGATAAGCAAGTATAATCAATAAAATACTGTGAGCCAGCAATTTTAGATGTCTTCTAAAATAGAAATGAGGATTTGTTTCCAGAGCTCCTGCAAAATAATCTAGTCTTAAAATCTTCTATATCTTATAATATACTTTTAACTAACAGAATTTATTCTTGTTTAATCTTTTCAAACCTGCAAGTTGATATTTGGTTTCTCTGTCTGCTACTTTAAATCAGTTGGTCATTCTTATTCTTACACTCATAACAATTGATGTTATTTCAAAATATTTAGGATAATTGATCATTACTGTAATCATTCATAAGAAAACTTCTACACATCTAATAGAGTAGAGAGAAGAGTTGCGATCTACCAAATGTGCTTTGTATAGTTTTATCTTTTCTTTTAAAAAAAAATTTGGCTTTGCAGAAAGGGGGAGGATGGAACATTTCTTTATGTGAACTATACCCTGTTATCATTGTACATTTGATTATTTTGTTTTCAAAGTCCTGTTTTTTTCATGTGTGTGTTTGTTTTCTGTTTAGCCTCGTCGTGGCCGTAGCATGTCGGTTTGTGTTCCCCATGTTTCTGCTGCTCCCTCTCTGTCCCGCATCTTTCCCAGTGCTCCTTCCACCCCACCACCAGTGCTGTCTGCACCATTTTCTCCTTCCCTCCTTCGGACTGCCCCTGAGGAAACTTTTGCCGAAAAGCTCTCTAAAGCACTGGAGAGTGTCCTGCCTATGCACTCTGCCTCCCAGCGCAAGCACCGACGCTCCAGCCTGCCTTCCCTCTTTGTCAGTACTGTATGTAACTGTAAACTTCCTGACATGTGAAACGCTTACACCAATGAATACATCCAGGCATCAAGACTTCTACTAAAAACTGATTGAAGAACAGAGCTAAATTCTGTTATATATTACACTTTTAGGGTACCAGTTATTCCTAGAGGAAACTTTTTTTAATAAGACTTTACAGGAGATTGAAAAGCAAGGAGGTAATGAAAGAGAATGCTTGTATTTCGCACATATTGGCACGTGCCCAATGAAACTTAGCTTTTATTATATTCTATTTCTCACCACAATAAAATCCTTGTGTTTTCATATCCTTGTAAAAAATAAGTATATTATTTAATTTTAACTTCTTAGTGGCTTTTTTATCTTCCTGACATGTGAAACGCTTACACCAATGAATACATCCAGGCATCAAGACTTCTACTAAAAACTGATTGAAGAACAGAGCTAAATTCTGTTATATATTACACTTTTAGGGTACCAGTTATTCCTAGAGGAAACTTTTTTTAATAAGACTTTACAGGAGATTGAAAAGCAAGGAGGTAATGAAAGAGAATGCTTGTATTTCGCACATATTGGCACGTGCCCAATGAAACTTAGCTTTTATTATATTCTATTTCTCACCACAATAAAATCCTTGTGTTTTCATATCCTTGTAAAAAATAAGTATATTATTTAATTTTAACTTCTTAGTGGCTTGATCAGAAGCAAATTTTATCAAACATTATCCTGCTTCAAATGAGGTTGGATAAGTCCATTTTTTACCATAGTCAGTGAAGTATAATTGAGCAGTAAAAATTGTTTTTAATTTTCTAAAGCAAATTTGAGCAATCGAAGTTGGTTTGATTTAACCATCTTGTCAAATGACATGTCCATAAACCGAAAGCCTCGTCTCATGGAGGTCAGCTGTGGTGCGGGCTTGACCGTAATGAGTACTTTAGCTGCATGTAGAGGATATTTGACTTTTTGGCTCCATTAATGTCTAGAAGGATCTATCTTTCAAAACTGCTTTTAAATTCTGTGGGACCTTGCTGCTGCTTTTCCAGATAGAGAATTAATGTTCTAAACTAGGAATCTCTGAATCATCACATTTTTTGCTTAGGGGAATGATTAGCTGTACAGTGTTTTATGGCTTTGGGATACACCCTTGGATAAACATCAGCAAAATGAACATTCTGGTTAGAAACTGAAATACTCTTTCAGCTATTCTGAACAGTTGAACCTCTTTGCCACATTGACAGGGGTCTTCCCTATTGAAAGAATGAAACTCATCTCTTCATAAGGACATTCACTTAGAGCCCATAGAACTGAATTATTATACTGTGTGTTGTGTACATTTGGCATGTCTAGGACTCTCAGTTTAGAGTTTTAGTTCTAGAAGAGCTTCTGTGAACAGAAAATGTGAGTATTATCAAGTTAGCTGTCATTTATATTATCCTTTTTACCTGATCTGAGTACTAGATACCAGAAGCAGAATTCAGTTAGTCAGCCTTTTGCTAGGCTCACAAGAGTGAACATTTGGTGATTTGGCATCTCTAACATGTGTCATGTAGTAAAACTATTCCCTGTGCTAGCTTGGAACAGAGATAAACACCACCGTCACCAATCAAGTCATGTGCCTTTTTATTACCCACCAAAAAAATGTGTTTTGATTTCTAGATAGAAGATGTAGGCAGGGACTTCAAAAAGATCTTAGAAGAGTAAAATTAAAGTACAAGTTTATTTTAGCACAAGAATATTTTTAAATCCATGCATGATATTTTTCATAAACATTTTTCATGGACTTTGTGAAGATCATTGTGCTTATCACTTAGTTGATAAGATGATTACACAGAAGCCTTTTAACACAGCACAAGATAATAAATATTTCTTATTGCACTGAGGAAGATTTACTAGGAAGCCCTTAATATTCCAATAATTCATCACAAAGGACTCAGATTCCTTCATGATACAGTAGCTGAAATTGAAGCACACTTCTTAGAATAGTTGGATGGAGCCAGCCAGGTGGCATGAAAGTTAAGGTGGCTGGATCTCATGTTGTTGCGCAGTTCTAGTCCTGAACCGGTGGCTGGGAAAATACACAAGGCACATATGCATGTGTGCCCAAAATTCCGAGAGGAGAATGGAGGAGAATGGGTTGTGGCGTGGTCATCCCCCCTGGGGGGTGATTTCTTACTTTCCCTCTCTCTGTATCTCTCCCTGGCAAGCTCAGACACTCTATAGCACAAACTTTAGAAGATAATAATAATAACTTGGACTTCTTGCCGTTCTTTAATTCTTATTCTTCCCTTAACTTTTCTCCCATTGATATAATTTACAGTAAATCTAAGTGTGAACATATTAATTGTGGGGTAACAAAAGAACAATCACTTTAACACTTTAATTTTTCTATTTCTTTTGAAGGGAAAGGTTGTGGAAAAGCAGCTCTTATATACTGCAAAGAGTCCCACAGATTGATATAATTGGCCCTGGATGTATTTAATGGATTTTTAAAATATGCACATGGTTTCCAAAAGCATTGTTATTTATTATTTATAAATTTGAGGTAACCATTTCATAGGGTTACACAAAGCTACCCAGATGTGCATGTCTGATGTAATTTCACATATGAATGTATGAATTACTTGTCTTATTCATGTTGATACAGCCTCAGTCCATGGCGCATCCGTGTGGGGGGACCCCAACCTACCCAGAATCACAGATATTTTTCCCAACTATTCATGAACGTCCAGTTTCTTTTTCACCACCTCCTACCTGTCCACCGAAAATAGCCATTTCTCAGCGGCGTAAGAGCACCTCCTTCCTGGAAGCCCAAACTCGCCACTTCCAACCCCAGCTAAGGACTGTTGGCCAAAATCTTCTTCCACCTGGTGGCAGCCCATCTAACTGGACACCAGAGGCCGTAGTTATGTTGGGTCCTTCAGCCAGTAGAGTAACTGGAGAGCCATGTGAGATACAGGTCCATCCTATGTTTGAACCAACTCAAGTCTACAGTGACTATAGACCTGGACTAGTACTTCCAGAAGAAGCTCATTATCTTATTCCTCAGGATGCAGTGTTTCTAGCTGGGGTGCATTACCAGGCCCAGGTGGCAGAACAGTATGAGGGCATCCCATACAACTCACCAGTACTGTCAAGTCCTATGAAACAGATACCTGAACAGAAGCCAGTACAAGGGGGTCCTACCTCAAGTTCTGTCTTTGAATTTCCATCTGGACAGGCTTTCCTGGTAGGACACCTTCAGAATTTAAGATTAGATTCTGGATTGGGTCCAGGATCTCCCCTTTCTAGTATTTCTGCACCTCTCAGTACAGATGCTACATGTTTGAAATTTCATCCTGTCTTTGTTCCTCATTCTGCACCCGCTGTGTTAACTCATAGCAATGAGAGCAGAAGCAACTGTGTATTTGAATTTCATGTTCAAACACCAAGCTCCTCTTCAGGAGAAGGAGGTGGAATTTTACCTCAGCGTGTGTACCGAAATCGACAGGTTGCGGTGGACTTAAACCAGGAAGAACTGCCTCCTCAATCGGTTGGATTACATGGCCACCTGCAGCCTGTGACTGAAGAACAGCATAATTACCAGGCCCCAGAATTGACCATTTCTGTGGTAGAGCCTGTCGGACAGAACTGGCCAATAGGAAGCCCAGAATATTCCAGTGATTCCTCACAAATCACTTCTTCAGACCCCAGTGACTTTCAGTCACCTCCCCCTACAGGGGGAGCAGCAGCACCTCTTGGCTCTGAAGTCTCATTACCCTTTATCCGACTGCCTCAGACAGTGTTACAAGAATCCCCACTCTTCTTCTGTTTTCCCCAAGGAACCACATCTCAGCAGGTCTTATCTGCCTCATTTTCTCCAGGAGGATCTGCACTCCATCCACAGGTTATAGGACAACTTCCACAGTTATTTTAAACTACCCAGTTGTGCACCATTACATTTACATTTTCTTTCTCTCATTTCCCGAATCATGGATTTATGAGGAAGATTAATTGTATCAGTAGGGTTTCTCCATCTTTGGGGGTTATAAACTATTTGCATTTAAGAACAAAATTTGAGTGAGAAGCTATTTCATTTTACTTAATATGTACACCCTTGGAAAAGAGAACACAAAACCTAAAATTTTATCCACTCTTCAGAATCAATGACTATTCCCGTCTGTACTTTGAACTAGCTCTGAGAATGCAAATGTCTATAACGTAAGGTTGACTCAGCATTGACTCTTTGGGAGAACTAATGTGAAATTACTTTCTTCCTCTAAACAAGTTCATAGAAAGGATAACTTCCTTTCAAGAATAAAAAATAAGGAACACCTTTTTTAGTAGAATTACAACACACTCAAGAATTAGTACACAGATTTTCACTGTGTGGAAGAGTCTTAAAAGAAAAAGGAAAAGGAAACATGTTAGAAATTTGCCTTCACAAATGATGCCTATGTCAAATGGCATCTACTAGACAAATTACTGTGTGTAGTTACATGTCCAAACAAAATGGTGATCCTTAAAATTAAGGACTGATTCTAAGTTAGTATCTAAGTTAGAATTTGGAGGTGGATTTATACTTTTTGCCTTAAAAAATATGTGATATATGTTGCAAGATAAGGAGCATGAATATCTCAGGCCCTGTTTGTTTTTTCCCTCTCAATGAATTTAAATTTAGTTATATTTACAGAAATATACATTCTTGTACAACTAAGTCAAGCATGATAAGAGTTCAAATACTAGAATAAATGTTGATTACTTAATGTATTCTTTTGATACATAGTATCAAATGTTATACATCATATATATATATGTGTTACGCATTTGAGATAATATATATATGTATATGAGACTATGAACTATGCAGTTATATATATATATA